TCCCGCTGTGAACCATGGCGTAGACCTATGTTTAATGTACTGTGTAACAGCAGATATCAAAGCCGCCCAGATCTTACATTTCTTTCCAGCAAGCAATTTTTTCAGTTCTGGAAACAAATAAAAGTCACAAGGGGCGAGGACTTGGCTATAAGGAGGGTGAGACAACAATTGCCATTTGTAAGAGTTGATAACCTCCACTGTAGCTGCGGCGGTATGGGAGGGGGCGTTATCGTGAGGAAGGGGGACATTTTTCTGTGCTAACCTGGGACGCATTTGCTTCAGCTTTTCTCTGAGACTTTTCAGAATTACTTCAGAATAGTACTTGGCGGTGACAGTTTGATCTTTTGGCATGAAATGAGTTAGTATCATTCCTCGTGAATCCCAAAAGGCAACAAGCATGACTTTGCCAGCCGAAGGAGACAGCTTAAACTTTTTAGGAGGTGGGGAACCAGTTCGTTACCACTGCTTTGACTGAGCTTTTGTCTCAGGTTCGGAATAATGAACCCACATCTCATCTCAAGTGATAATGCGGTTCAAAAACTTATCTCCTTCACGTTTAAAACGACTTAAATGTTCTTTTGCATTGGCTACTCTGGTTGCCTTTTGATCTGCGGACAGCTGTCTAGGCACCCACCTGGCACTTACCTTGCTCATGCCTAGGTGTTCGTGTAAAATCTTGTGTGCCGATGCCTTACCGATGCTAAACTTGTTGGCTACCTCCTCCAAAGTTACTCGACGATTTTTGTTGACAAAAGCTTTAACATTTGCTACCATTGTTGGAGTCACTGCCTCAGCTGGCCGCCAAGTCCTAGGCCTGTCACAAACACTTGTTCTGCCTTCACGAAACTGAGAAACCCAGTTGTAGAAGGTTGAAAGTGATACACATTTTTTAGAAAATCTTTTTTAAGCCTCTGAAAGATGTGGCATGGCTTTTCACCTTCTGCAACCAGAAACTTTATTACATAGCGTTGTCCCTCTAACAAAGAGTCCATGATAGACGAAACACATATCATATATCAGAGGGCAAGATACTGTGTATACACAACTATAATAATTATTGAAAAAAACTGACCACGTTATTGGCGAATAAATGTAGTTTTCACCAATATATAATGTGTGTATATAGCTGCACGTGGAAAGAGAGGAGCATGAAAAGTTCGGATATTTTCTGACCGTCCCTCGTATTATTTTCCAGTTTGAACATATTTTATTCATAATCATACACAATACATAATATACATTCGTTCAATATATACAATGTTGAAATGGATTACAACGAAAGATATAAAATCTTATGTACAATGTAGTTCTTCTCCGAAACTTAAGATAATTACATTATTAAATCTTAAATTGAGTAACAGAAGTTTGGTGTTATTCAATTGAACAGAAAGTTCATTCGAGAATTTTGGAATAAAGTTATTAAGGGAAGAGATTTGTTCAATATTCTTTAACCCTTTCCCCCATGAGCATATTGTGAAAAATGGCCGTTTTCACTGAAAAGCCTCCTGTTACAAGTTCAAACTGCTATGAAACTATGAAAAATGCTTCAATACTAATCAAACTTGGCACAAATGTTGACTGGACCATTGTCTTTGTAACGACATGCTCAGTCTTAAATTTCCTGTTACCATGGCAACGAGGGGACATCTCAAAATTGCCAAAAATCACTATTTTGCCTCGATTTTTTCCATCAAAATTTATTTCAAAGTGCTGCAACTGCTCAAGGGATTGAGATAGAGTCAAAGGCTTTTCAGCGTTGGTTAAACGTTACATTATGATCGACCTAGGGTCATTTCTAGCCTCTCACAAGTCCAAAATTTTCTTGGCGATGAGGGGGACTCCGCCCCCCTTCAAACCCCCCTAACAGAAGGGGGCACATCCCCCTTCTGGCAACCCCCGGATGTATCTTTTGGATGGGGGGCGGCGCCGAAAAAGTGCTCAATTTTTTAAGCAACATTTCTCAAACGAAAACTTATGTTTGGGGCCCAAATAGGACATGTTTTCACTCTTTGAGGCCTAAAAAAGGGGGGGGGGTCAAAAGTGCGTTGTTTCGCGTATATATGTGGTAAAGGGTTAACAAAAAATGATGAAAAACTTTGGAATCACCTAAAAGCTAGTTTTTCCATGTTAACATGTCGTATTTCACCTAATTTTGGTGAAAAATTGTTGTTTTGTAACATTTGCAATTTTTTTAGTTAACCCTTTCCCCCATGAGCATATTGTGAAAAATGGCCGTTTTCACTGAAAAGCCTCCTGTTACAAGTTCAAACTGCTATGAAACTATGAAAAATGCTTCAATACTAATCAAACTTGGCACAAATGTTGACTGGACCATTGTCTTTGTAACGACATGCTCAGTCTTAAATTTCCTGTTACCATGGCAACGAGGGGACATCTCAAAATTGCCAAAAATCACTATTTTGCCTCGATTTTTTTCATCAAAATTTATTTCAAAGTGCTGCAACTGCTCAAGGGATTGAGATAGAGTGAAAGGCTTTTCAGCGTTGGTTAAACGTTACATTATGATCGACCTGGGGTCATTTCTAGCCTCTCACAAGTCCAAAATTTTCTTGGCGATGAGGGGGACTCCGCCCCCCTTCAAACCCCCCTAACAGAAGGGGGCACATCCCCCTTCTGGCAACCCCCGGATGTATCTTTTGGATGGGGGGCGGCGCCGAAAAAGTGCTCAATTTTTTAAGCAACATTTCTCAAACGAAAACTTATGTTTGGGGCCCAAATAGGACATGTTTTCACTCTTTGAGGCCTAAAAAGGGGGGGGGGGTCAAAAGTGCGTTGTTTCGCGTATATATGTGGTAAAGGGTTAAGCGTTGTATATAATTTATACTCCAAACACTTGACTTGCAGTATTAAAACTTTATTGAGCAGAACCGGTTGCTTATTATATTAGTAAGTTCAGTTTGTTCTAACTATCAATTATCTTAAAGCAAAGGTAAAATATGTTTTGCAAGACAACATAAGAGTGTGATGATTCAGTTTTGCCCTTGTCCGTGCATGCGTTCGTTTTGTGAAGCAACGCTGTTAAGGTAGCAGTTATCGGTAAATACTGCACAATTGTCGCTTAATGTCACTCACATCGCCGCTACATATCGCACACTCTTTTCTTTTTTTTTTTTTTTTTTGGTTAAATTTCGCAATGGTAAGAAAGTGGTAGGAATCATAATTCAGTTGTTCTGCAAGCAACAGATGGTATTCAGAAGATGAATAATATTGCAGCCAACTCATCTATAAATCAAACGTGTAGTTCGACATGTATCCTATTTCTTTTCAAATTAGCGTTTACAATTATAAGGGTTTTTTCGGCATTAACACATGATATAAACTTTATTTTCTATGAATCAACTAGCTGTTGCATTCTATTCAACGGTTACCATGCATGTTTTAGAGTACCAAATACTTCTAGCAATACCGGATTTCTTTCCTTTCTTTATCACTAGAACTACTTAGCGATATAAATCTAATTCCATCCCGAATAAATGTTCTTGTCATCGGAAATGCACTGACGGTACACATCCATACGCTGCGGGATGTATCAGTAGCTATGAATTAATGTTAATGTTGAATTACAATTTATAAGTTGGCTAGCTAGAAATAAAGTTTGTACTTGTAAATGGTATATAATACTATTATTTTCTTTAACATAATTATATGGAAAACAAACTGTATAGAATGGTGCAATTTTTATAAGATTAACATTAAGAAATAAGCAGAACCAAGAATAAGAGATTGCAAAGGACTAGTTTGTATGCTTCTTTTTGCTGCAGGAACCTGCTTCTACGATATACCATTTACTAGTTTTGATTGCTCGATAAACGGTACAAAACCACCAGTTATGCTTGGAATCCCGGATAAAGGCAAATGTGATTTGAATGAAAGGAAATGTGCTGAAACTTCTGTGATCGGCCGCAATTTTGCTGAGACCAAGTCACTTAAATGTAAACTTAAACCTTTTACGTAAGTATTTGTATACTTTGTAATGGTATTATTATTGTTTACGCTTGTAGAAAGATATGTACATATTGTGTTTTACACAATTTTGAGTTTTGATTCTTTTTTATCAAAATATAAACAACATGAATTAAATGATATTGCATATTATTTGTTCCCAATTACTTCTGTATTCTGAAATTCAATTCATAATCATAACATAATTCTTCTTTTTACACCACAGACATAATTATAAGGGAAAAACATGTAAATCAACATTTTAACGATATAATGTCAAACATATGTATCATTATGGTCTTGTGGATATTAAAATCATCAATATTAAAACTAAATAAACATTAAATTGTTGTAATGGTACGTTTTCTTAGAATTTATTATTTAGTTTGACTAGAAATTTGAGAATTGTGCACGGCGTCATTTTGTAGGTTTAGAATAGGGTTAATTTATCTCGCCCCATACATATAATCAAAAATGTTATATTTTCGATCCTTGAATACCGTTCAGCATAATATTATTGTTGGATGGTTCCAGTATTCCAACTTGATTACTGTATAATCACCCTAAGGAGATGTTGCCTGTTTTGTGGGGGTTTTTTGTTGTTTTTTATGTCTTTTGACGTCTTTGATGTTTGGTGTTCATGTTAATTTCAAAACAATTTTCAATTTTTGATATTTGCTTTCGATTTAATAATAAATGTCACCTGAATAAATAATGACCACTAAGACCTACATAAATATTTATGAATTTCTTTCAGAAATTATCGATTATGTTCAATTCATAACGGAAGTGGAACAGTAATTATCTATTTAAGGCTGTTTTCATATTTTATCCTAAACACTTGTCATTATCAATTATTGTGCAATCGCCATTGTAATATTCAATCTTTTCAAATATAAAGATATAATATACAACTTATCTATCTCTTCCATAATTTAAAATGCAATGTAAGTATCTTGAGGCTTTATGATTAAATTTATCATAAGAAAAATTGTTTAATTGTTATGATAAAAGGGTAAAGGTTTTAATCGTATCAAATGCAGATTGACAGATACAACAACGTGGAAGTGGCAGAAACAGTCGAAACGTCTGGGTATTTTGAATCACTCTTTGAGGTATATTGTCCTCTGAGTAATGGAAGAGTAAAACGCTCCAAGAATGCTGACCTTGCAGGTGATTTTGTATCTCGAGGGTTCCGTGTATCTGTAAGCAATGACGGCAATGGATACAGCGACGAAGACAGTATTGTTATATTTGATTCACAATGCGTCGATTGTTCTAAAGTAAATGGGAAAATAGTCTGCACTACAAAAGTATGTATTATACAGACTTTGTTTTGAATTCAGAACATGAGAGAAAAAGACACTAATCAATACAAACACCAACGGCTACTTCTTGAATCTTTTACAGTAACAGTTACTTCTTTTATGTCTTCAGCAAATAATGAAACACTCTCCACCGAAGCTTTGTATAGTCAGATCTGCATCTTAGCAATTAATGATATCTGATCAATGTTATTTAATAAAGAATTGTTTTAACCCTTGCAATATCCTACCACAAAACACATAATTTATCAATTTTACAACACCAGTACTAACATAGTGTCATACATCTGTATCTGAAACTATGACGACCACACACTGTTCTACTTTTTAAGGAAACATATAAAAGTTTTTCAACTCTTCAAATTATCCTCAAAATATCTTTGCAACATTATTGAGAGATCTATCAATTAAAAATGTTGGTACTCTTCCTTAGGTGAATACAATGGACGTCCGTGGTCGAATGGTTATGGTCTTTTATTTCAAACCAATTGCCCCTCATTGTTGTGGGTTCGAATCCCGTCACAGACCTTTGATTATTTCATGTAAAGACGCTCTCAACCTAGCCAACGGAACGTCGGTGGTTCTACTCAGGTGCCTGTTCGTGCCTAAAGAAATAAAAGGAAGAACACCTGAGGTCTTCCTTCATCAGTAAAGCTTGACTGTCGCCATATGACCTTTAATGTGTTGGTGCAACCTAAAACCCAACCAATATAAAAAAGCAAAAAAATAAAAAGGTCAATTTCTAAATCTCGTATAAAGTATTGCTATTTTATATTTGAATATCTTTATTATTTAATGCTAAACAGCAACTTATATTGTATTTTTTTTCAGACTGGATTTTGCATGAAAGGTGGTAAATGCTTTCATCCCGGCGATAAAGTCGGCTGTCAGATTTGCAAGACAAGCAGCTTTGGTTATTCACATTGGGAGAATGGGCCAGGTAAAAATTACCGATTTCCCCTGATAAAAAGATAACTGTTGCGTGGTTACTAATGTAAACCGTTTAAAAATTGAAGTAATGTTTGAATATGTAAAGCAGTGTAAAAAAAAGTAATTACCACTTACACTCGGTGATAACCGCGGCACAAACTTCTGTCAAAGCAAAGAAGGTCACCACTATTCAAAATTTACTTTTATGCTGAAATTATGCTAATTTTTATACCTTTTATACTTCTACTCATTTGTTTGCTTCTATCTTAATTTTGATTTCCTTAAAAATCATTTACTGTGTAACATTTGTTCGGTCTGTGCAAGTCGTTTAGAGGCACAGTGAGTCAGCAGAATATAAATAAAAACTTCAATGTAGGCAGGGACGGCAAGGAAGGGTACAAGGATGCATGCGGCCCTTGTTGGCAGTGACAGCTTGAACGACAGACCCTTTGTTTGACACAAATTGCCATTGTCAGGGCTACTCGTGCCTCATCCATTATATTCACAGGTTACTGTACGTTTTAGTGATCATTATCTGTTGTAATGTGACCTCTCAACTAAACATTTATCTTTGAAGCTTCTACATTTTACTATGCATGAATTTTACGGAAGTTAACTCTCATAAATCGTGCCATGCCCAGGGTCCGTACTCAATTGCAGAGCTTTTTTGTGCCTTAACAGGAGATGGCCTCTCAAAAAGTATAGAAAACAGAAAAAAGTTACTTATGTACCCCCTTAAATACAGTTTTCATGTATATTGTAGCTTGTATTGTGCAAAATCATTACAGATTGCCTAACACCAGTCGCAACTGAAGAAAATGAAACATTGTGGATAATAGGAGCAGTTTTAGGAGCATTTGTCTTCATACTCCTTTCAGTTATAGCTGTGATGTGTTACTTAAGGTATACATTTAACAAGTACATATGTTTTAATGATAAGGTGGTTGTCATGAAAAGAAGAAGAAAAATTGAATCATATCATTTGTCCTAATTACTGTTTTTAGATCTTCTAGAATATTAATGAACAATGTGTATTGTAGCATAGTCACAAGAATCCGTCCGTTAACGCATGTTTTCTTCTCCGTTAATGTAGACCTTCGTTCAAAGTTTTTATGCAAGAAACATGTTTGCATGTATAAATTGTAAAATATTTGTTTAGAAACCAAAGAAAATCTTTCACTGATAATATCTTTCCTTTTGCAGTAAAAGAGGACGAACGCCAATCCAGAAGATTAAATTGGTGGCTGAAATTAGATAGCCTCTATTACAATTTGATATTTACAGAAATAATATACTTTCAAAGACAATAATTGTTGAATTTTGCTTTTTGTTTTTGTTTTAGCAATTTTACAAGCCTTAAAGTGTCATGTTTATCAATAATGTATGATAAATAAACACAAATTTGTGCGCTTTTTACTTTATATTCCACATCGGTTTCCCAAACACCCAAAACAAATAATAGCTCTATCTACAATTAGTTCGCATACAAACTTGCATTGATATTCAATCGCGTCTGCATATTGCGGCGCCCCTTTCATGATTAACCGTTACGTTACTTACCGTAACTATAAACACAAATCACTTATTTCATGCATTATTTACTAAATCTCTAACAAATGAATACTAAAAAAGCTGTCGATTCAAATATGACCCACAAACATTAGGGGTGTAGAGCTCAAAATGCCTTGTAATTCAAAAAAAAACTGTATATTTGTCAATCCCTGCATATAAATATAAACCTTATTTTAAGCCGTTTTGGAAAAAAAATCATATTTCAAAGTCTATATTTGTATATTATTATATAATCTATAAATAGCTTTGAAATGCCTTTCCCTGATTGGCTAACAAGCAACTTTTTGTAAAAAATAACAGGTCAATATCAGAGTATATTCACTGTTTTTTTCCTAAAAATAGATTTTCAGAGTATATTCACCGGTTATTCTTCTAAAAATAGATTTTCTGGAAATCCCTAAAAGACACGAGACTTTGACATGACGTAACGCCAAGTTTGTTGTTATTATTCTGAAAAAAATGTTGAGTTGGGTGTACATCAGAGTCAAATTAGTCTATTTTAGTTACCGTTTTTCATTTTTAAGAAAAATAGGGATTAGCATGCCAATGGAAAGGGCCAAATTATTGAAACAGTAGACAAGCTGAAAAATAATGATTTCCGTCATATGCAATGGCAGATTTGATAAGCCATATAAAAGCTATTTATAAATTATATAATAAAACAGATATGTACTTTTTAGCTGTTGAATATGATGTGATATGTACTGAAAAATTAATATTGACCTCGGCTATCGCCTCGGTCAATATTAATTTTTTCAGTACATATCACATCATATTCAACAGCTAAAAAGTCCATATTTGTATATTATTGCTTGTTTAACAATATTTCATTTTAAATGGAACATTAGAATAACATTAAACAGCGGATTTTATACTGGAAATTATACTGTTAACAACACTGCATCTTTACACTGCTGGAACCGGAATGAATTTACCAGTATAAAGATATGCACATCCGTCCAAACTGAACCGGTCGTGCACTTATGACTGACTAACTTTAGAAATTTCTATAAATATTTTTTGATATTGACCCATATTGATAGTCAGTTCTAAAAAACTTAAAGCGTACACATTCAGCAGGTTAAGATTAACGTTGCAAAAATGGACTGTCAGAATTGTCAGCTCCTCAATCTATTTTCATCTTGCAGACCTAACATAACCTTTTCTATAATAAGAAGGATAAATATCTGGTAAAAACTAATCCCTCAGAAGCATTAAAAGCGGCAACAATTACAAAATAATTGCAGACTCGGTTTGATTGAGTCTGTACATAGGGGATAATGAAAAAAGAACAACATCCCTCACGCTTGAGCGGTACTCAATTCTCAACACTTGCTGGACTCAATGATCCTGAAGGACCAGAAAATATAACAACACTGAAGTGAGGTACGTGTCAACTTTTTATGGCTGTCACAGAGCACTCGACACCTGCTGTTGTGATATATAAATACCTAGTAAAGGTATCTATGGTGAAAATGCCCCTAGGTTATTATTTGCAAACAAAGTGTGAAATAAATCCCCCATATTTAATACATATAAAACGTTTTAGAAACGTTCGTGTTTTGCAAAATTGCAATATTTCTGTCATAAACATGGAATGAAAAGAAGATAAAATTGTAAACTCAAGATTGTCCAAGAAATTACATACGATCTTCTGAAATTTTCATAGCGAACTGAAAAGGACGAAAACGGATACCTCTTTTGGTTTGCATTACTATTGTTGATTATAAACCAAATCAAAATAGCCTCCTTATCAATAACAATAATGAAATGGCATGTTTTTTAAAGTCTACCATTTAATAAAAGGGCGGACAAATATTTGTCCCTTTCTCGTGAGAGAAGGGGAATCCGGTGATGCGTGTATGTGGTCGCACGGTCACGTTCCTTACAATATGTCCTCGATGCAATGATGCACGTATGTGGTCATCTCTAGTAAAATGACGTTATCAGAGGGTTTTTTGGTAGGGATACATCTGGTGTTTTTAAAAACTGTTTCACTCGTAATAATTAGTTAGTACTTTTATTTATTAGTCTTAGTTTAAAAGCCTAATAAGTTCTTTTTACTTTTAACCTGAGTCACAAAAACCTTATAAGGAATTTGAAACTCCTAAAGAGGCGAGATAACAAAAACCTTATTAAAACTTTCTTTGTATTCGTACTTACTAGCTTTAACCTATCTTTAAAGTGGTTTGGTCTACAATGGGCACAATTTCGATAAGTATTTAAAATATAATAATTATTAAACTAGAGATACATGTATGTATCAATATGATATTCTTATACAAAATACACAAATCTTGAATAAAATGTCGATAGAGTTCATAGTTATTTAGTATGGACATTCATATGAATAATAATAATAAAAATATTATTATTATTATTATTATTATTATCAATAATATTAATATTAATAATATTAATAATAATGGCAATGGTAACGTTAAATGTAGCACGATTTTCCATTGCCGATAAATGTTGCAACACTATCGTTAATTGTCGCAAGATGAATATAAATGATAAAATTAACATAGCTAGTGGTACTTAATTACAATAAACATTGAGTTAATGTTTGTACAGAACAGAACAGAACAGAAATTTTATTTGAATCTAACTTGAACATTTACAGTTCATCGTTACATACAACAAATTTTACATGCACATAGTAATAATGTAAATATCATATTATAATCATGCAAACAACTTAACATATTTCATCAGATCATTACAAAGATAAATGTATACATTTATTAACTTTAAGGAATGTCCCAATCCATCTGCCGACTAAAGATGAACAATGCCTTTTTAAGTGGTTTGATCTTCAATGGGCACATTTTCAAAAAAATAGTTCAATAGAAATGCAAAATTTGGATATTCTTATAAAACTTATAAAATATTTCTTGAATAAAATATGTTTATCTAGTTCTACATGATTTATTATGACATTTATGACATTGATATATAAATCATATATAACTATTTTATGGTTTGGTATCATACATGATACTGATTACTATGAACACAGATATTCATGGTATTACATATTCTCCACCATAGACCAATTCACTTTAAATGCCCTTTGCGTTTAAAGCAGTATGCGACTACGCTTGAAAGATATCCGGCGATCTTTCGGAACATCGGTGGTTCTACTCAGGTTCGAGGGACACCAGATGTCTTTGTCCACCAGTAAAGCCGCAATACTGTGTTTGCATGACGTCTTAATGTCTAAAAACTAATTAGGACTTTGAATTAGAAGTTTTAAAAACTTATAAGGAGAAATGAAATAAACAAAATAAAAACCTAATTCGAAGTTACAAAGTTCAAAGTAGGTTTTAGTTTTTGAAGCTTCATATTAGGACTTAGAAATCATAATTAAGACTTTAAGTGTTGAAAATTGAGTACCGCTCAAGCCGGTGCTAGGGGGCGTGAAGGATGTTGCACATATTCATTATCCGTCATGTACAGACTCAATCAAACCGAGTCTGCAATTCTCTTGTAATTTTGTTGTGATTTATGTTTTCAAGGGATCACTTTGTTTCCAGACGTTTATATCTCAACTTCTTATAATATTTTTGTTTCTCCTAATTAAGCTTTAGAAATTTCTTACTTAAGGTAAAGGGCGTTACACATAGCACGAACTTTTTTTAATTAAAATTTTAGCATGTTAGAAATTGGCCAGTCTCATTTTCCTTCTGTCATGTTTTTATACAAGTATTTTAGACTCGAATGCTTTACTCCTTCAGAATTGATAGTTCTTTTTTAATTGAACATTCAACTTGATAATTGATAATATAAGTGAAAAGAATGAACGTGACTAGCTATATTTCTCAGAATTTATAAGATTGATTAATGAGTAAAAACATGTAACAGTACAAAAAATCAAAATAGAGTATCCACGAAGTTGTAAGATGTTCTCTGCATTCATTTACAGCAATGCCTTAATTTAAATTGCATATTGTATAATTTTCGTATCTTCGTTCAGAACATTACATCATCATGGAAAAGTTGTATTCATATCCTTCATAGAATGTTATGATTTCATGTTATAGAATGTAATGATTTTATTTTGTTGTTTTTGTTGTTGTTGTTGTTGTTGTTGTAGTGTTAGTAGTAGTAGTAGGAAGAAGCAATGTTTCTAACATGTATTTATTATACGAGTAGTTTAAACTAAAGGCCTGTATAGGTATAAGAGTAAAAAACAATTTAATTTTAACATGTTTTATTATATAGTTTATAGTCGATTGCAAAAATAAAAAAAAGTCACAAACAATTCAAACAAAAACAAAGAACCACAAAATACATACAAAAACAAGATCATTATAATAATAAAGGTGTTATATCTAATTTATTATTAATATAATTTAAAGTGAATGCGACTGATATGTCATATAAAAGCTGAGATCAATATAGTGTGTAGGCTTATACAATGAGAATAACAGAATATAACTGAACATTTATTTATTTTAATGATAGTTGCTAATAAGTAAAGTATGATTTACGTAAATTATTGTCGTAGCAATCTTCACTACGCTGGAATTAATACAACTCTTATTCATTCTTTAAACTTTTATTTATTTGAGTTGTTATATTTTTCTGGTCTTTCTGGATCATTGATGCCAGCATTATTAAGTTTTGAGAATTGAGTACCGCTCAAACCGGTGCTAGCGGGCGTGAGGGATGCACTGCACGTTTAAATCGCGAAATAGATGAAAATCATGTCAACATAAGCCCGCATACAAAAATTCAGTTACAAGCCGGCGGATCAAAAAATAAACACAAAACACATTATCATATTCCCGTTCTTTGCGACAGTTGTAGAAATATTTTAACAAAACAAGAATAAGTTTCTTAAAAACACTTTGCCTCAATTGCATAATCAACGAAATATTTTAGGCTTAAGAGAATTTGTCATTGAAATTTGATTTGGTGTGCCAATATCTAAAATCATCGATACCTCAAGCAAATAATCATTAAAGCAATATAAAAATATAATGTGTCGCTACTTTGGACAACATGGCATAAGAAATAGCAGAACACCACCAAAAGCTATTCCTATTCCAGACACGACAAATGGAGGCGTGTAACTTCCGGTTTGGTCGTAAAGAACACCTACAATATACAAATGATAAAATAAGTTTGAGCGAATTGAATACATGCATACAAAATAGTCTGAGAGGTAAGTTTTTACTTTAATAAAAAGCTCCAGAATCTTATTAACTCTAAAAATAGTTTTAGATTCAGACAAAAGTATAAGTGTCTGATAAAAAGTCCCCTTTTTCAGATTGGTCTCCATATGATTTACATATGTGTCCATAAAAGTGTACATCTGCTCTCAAGCATAAGATCGTATTTATATTAATTAATATTTATATAATAAAAAAAATCAAACATACCAGTTCATCAAGAAAGAACTATGCTTTATTTTTATGACAATGTCTTGGTTGCAAAAATTAAATCACTTATATTTTTATACTAACCTAGAGCTGGAGGACCTATCAAAGCGCCTATTCCACAAAACATATTGTTAAGACCCATTGCATCGGCCATTCTTTCTATTCCAACGATTTCTACAAGGACAACTGTTGTCTGGGACAGCATCACCGCTACAAAATATCACATATTACTTTTTTCGTTCTATTGAAAATTCTTCAAGTATATACATGTATATATTTACTAAATATAAACGCAGATGAAACAACAGTCTAAATAACAAGCAACTAATACACTAAATATCAAAAGTATACATAGTTTGGTTTCTCAAACATAAACAATTTTGACCCATATTTCGTAACGTTGTAAGAAGAATCGACAATGAACGCCTTTGTTAACATTTACAAGTGTTGTCTTTTAGAAATGTATTTATTTTCATCGGAATGATATATTTGAAATAAGTGCCAACTGAGTTCTAAATTAAATAACTAATAAATGGTTGTGTAATTAATTCAAAATTATATCAGGAATTATTTAAACCTTACTTTGTCCTTATTTTAATAAAACTTTATCACTGTAGCAAGGTTTTAGGGAAATAATAATAAGGCAATCATTCTTTGTTATGTTTTCTTGAACTAAATCAAAATACTGGTGAGATATAAGCAACCATAGTCAATATTCAAGCCGCCTTGATGCTTCGATCCCGGTTAGAAGCTGAAAACACTAAAATCACATCGTCAATTTCCGTTCCGTGGTCTCATAATTCCGTATACTAGTAGCTGATATATGTTTTGTCTTGGCTTAACTTTCTATTATTGACAAATGTAGCTTGTCTTACCTGTAGATAATCCGAAAATGATGGCATAGATTATCAAAGCAGCAAAATTAGACAACAAAGGCACAAACGCTGTACTAATACCGGAAGTGAGGAGAGCGACTTTGTACAGGAATAGGCTGAAACAATGAGAGTACAACTTATTATAAATGAAATGACATGTATTATGTTTCATAATTAAATATAGTGTCTAATACATTAAGGATTTAATGATTCTTATGACTTTTTGTTTTCCTCAACAATATACATGGCAATCGTGTCAATTCTTTCTTCACATTTTTGGACATTCAATTCCAAATGCAAAATTTCGGTTTCAATGTTTGCAGTTGTTCCAGTTTTGCAGTGATGAGCATCTGTCTTCATGTGACAGCCTCACTTCATCGAGACAAAACAAACGTTTGCTAATCTGTACATGTCTCAACATTTTCAGGACAAAGTCTTTACACACGAACAAGAGAATTTAAAATATTAATATAAAAAGAACCAGAAAATACCTACCTGTTCATGAAAGATTTATCGGCCATGTATCCAAGAACAACACGTCCACACACCGTTGATATCCCAATGGTCGATATAATCCAAACCGCTTTTGACTCGTCGATACCTTTATAAAAACAACTAATGGTTCAAAAATCATTCTACAATCATTTATGGCCCAACACTTTCAAAGTAAAATTTATCCTAATTACTTTAATAACATATGTTGTCTTAAAGAATCAAATCTACATTCCTGGAGATAGTTTCGTATGAGCTTTTTAAGCTTACATCCTGGATGTAGTTTATGTATTGGAATTTTGTTTGAAAATATGGAAGACATGCATATTGTTTAAATCAAATCAAATCTACATCGATATAGCTTAAAATAGATGTTCATCAACACAGTTGTTTTGGTAATAAAATTAAAACTCCGGCATATAAATTGTTAGATAATAGATACATAACAAAAATCTTTCCTGCGGCACAAACTAAATTAAACATGGTGCAATCATTTCATCACAAAGCCATGAAAACTAAAAATGACTGAATGGACATCTATCATAATTGCTTTCAAACTTAAATGATCACGTTTGATATCCGTATTGATAGATGTATTGTTGGTCGTTTATTCAGTCTATTTATATAAAATACACATCAATCTTAAAAATCTTTGATACTTGATGATAATTTGGTATTACCTAGTTTCACTAAAATGGGGTGGAATTTATTACCATTAGTGCAAATATTTAAAATTCAAACATACATTTTTTTATATTTTTACCCAATTCCATCCCCTTGTCCTGTAAGTTTGTTCTTTGTTCTGATGTTTAGCTTATAGTTATATTAAAATGATATACCTTTATATCTCAGCAGAGATTTCTGAAGTTAAAAAAAGAATAGTGTAACTTGAAACAAAACTTCTTATATGAAGAAAAAACAAAAACAAAAAATCAAATTATATATCTATATGGGCTCAGTTGATATATTATTGAAACAAAATTGTAGATGCTTATATTATATATGTATGCTATTTTAACCAACAAAAAATGCCCTTGTAACTATATCAAAGGCCACACAATAACGAAAGTATACATAAAAAGTAATTATTACCGTATTGAATGGCCATGCCAGGTAATCCTATAATAGGGAAATAAAATCCAATGAAAAACATAATTTGTGCGATGTAGAAAAGAATCATCTCCCTTTGTCGTAATATCTTAAATAATGTCAAATTCGATAAAGATAAACAGCGATGTCTTCCTACTTTTGTACTTGCATTATCTTCAACATTATCCCCGTCTTTCAGCATTTTTTCATTAACTTCAGGTTCTTCTTCTTTATTAGCGTGAATAACTGTGTTGAAAGTATCATATTTCTCTATAACAATTTCCATTCTCTGGCGTTCCTTTTCTATTATTATCTCTTTTTCTTTATAACATTCTGATATTGCACCAGCAGACTGCGTATCACAGTTATTCTTTTGAGAGTAGTCATTTTCCTTATCTGAAATATCGTTGAATTGCACCTTTTCATAATTAGAATTTCTTGGAGTTTCGTCTGTAGTGAATTTATTTCTGAATATCAAGGCACATGGTACACAGTTTAGTAGCAGCGCGGAACAAATGAGAAGCGTCCCTCGCCAAGCATACATGTCCAGAAGCATTTCTATCAAAGGACTGAAAATAATAATAAAAATGAGCTGTGTCATGACAAAACCAACATAATGGGTTTGCGACTCGCATGGATCCAGACCAGCATGCGCATCCGCGCAGTCTTATCAAAATCCATGTTGTTCGCTTACCAACTCTATTACAAGTAGAGAAACTGATAGCGAACAACATGGATCCTGATCAGGCTGGTCTGGATCCATGCTAGACGCAAACGCATTACGTTGGTTTTGTCGTGACGCGGCTCAAATACTTTAGATAGGTATGAAAAAAGCTGTTAGACAAGGGTTGATTTTATGACCCTATTTATTGTTGGCTAAATTTGACAATATTTTCATTTTCAATAGAAAAATGTCTTCTGTGACCTGGTAGTATATAAGATTTTGTTAACTCGATATGCAACAAAAATAATATGAGGTATTTTGTAAATGATAATGATGATAGATGGGGATAACGATAATAACGAAAATCTTTACATTAGCATCCACATCATCATCATCATCTTAAGTAGCAACAACAGCAGCAACACCACCGAAAATTTTGACTTCAACTCCATCTTCTTCACCATCATCATCATCATCATCATCATCATCATCATCAGCATAAATAACTTTTAATCATTATTACTAAGTATTATTATTATTATTGTTATTATTATTACATTATTATTATTATTATTATTATTTTTATTATTATTTTTTTTATTATTATTATTATTATCATTATTATTATTATTATTATTATTATTATTATTATTATTATTATTATTATTATAATTATTATTATTATTATTACATCATTATTATTATTATAATTATTATAATTATTATTATTATTATTATTATTATTATCGTCATCATCAGCATCATAATCATCATCATCATCATCATCATCAACACCACCACCACCACCACCACCACCATCATCATCATCATCATCATCACACCCTCACCATCATCATCACCAACATCAAAATCATCATCATTATTAGTATTTTTATTATCATTATTATTATTATTATTATTATTATTATTATTATTATTATTATTATTATTATTATTATTATTATTATTATTATCAAAGTTATCACCATCATTTTAAACATGAATGATACCTGAAGACAAATGCGCCTCCACCAGCCCCAGCAACAGCAATACCGCAAGCAAGAGCTCTATATTTCTTAAAATACAGTGTCACCTCAACAACAGCTGGGATAAATATCAATCCATAGCCAAGACCTGTAAACAAATAACACACATTATTTAAACGCATATCCACAAACCAATAAGTATGGTGGTTTGAAACGCTTTTTGTGCTCGTTGTCGGACTTTTGTCTTGTACCTCCTGCCGCTAACGATGCACGCCTAACGGTGCGTAGTCGTTCGACATGTTGTCGCGATGTCACATTGTCACTCGGCTCAAATGGAAGGATTGGTTTATAAGCCAAGCGACAGGGCGACATCGCGACAACACGCCCCACGACAACGCGCCTTTTGGCGCGTTTCGCTAGCGACAAGCTGAAAAGGCGATGACGATCGATATAGTATACCAAAGTGTACCGAATCAGCCACCACAAATAGGACATATCTGAAGTTTGATAGATATCAATCCATAGCCAAGACCGGGAAAAAAGCACACATCTGAGGGAGAATGAATATCAACACATATTCGTGAAAAACAGAAAATATTTGGACCATGTGTACTATTCTATTCCCTTTTTATGTTTATGTTAGAATTATGACATGAGATTTTAAGTTGTTGATTTGTATCGTTCAAGTTGGCTGTATAAAGATCTTGAGTGTTATCTTCGCTTAATAAGAAGAGCATCGGCTTTGCAATCGAGGGGTCTCTGGTTTGATCCTCGGGCACGGATATTTCCTTGTGACAACTGATCTAACGGCCATTTGACTTTTACAATATACATCCCACGGGAGATGCTTTGGTAGTTTTGCGCGGAGGAAGGTAGTCTAGTACTGGTGTAACTCTCCAGGAACGATGGTTAGGAAACAACCCGCCTATATGTCTGAAATACTGTTGGAAAAGGCGTAAAATGAAACAAACAAACAAACAATATACATAATGTGAATATTGTAGAATTTATTGATCTGATCAAAAGCAAAATGCGAATGTAACGTCAATACAAACCTTTGACGTAGTGCTTGTTCCATGGGTAATACGGAAGGACATAATTTACTGAAAACATGTCCTGATTTATGAACTTTATCGCGAGAACATGACAGACCATAACTATACGAAAATGTGTAAGTTTATAAAGATACATATTTTAAATCTAATCTGTTTGCGACATCCCCTTTTATTTATTCATCGCAAATCTTAAAATTTGAAGAATTTTTGTTTACTTCGTATGCTTAAGACAGGGTTAGAGAAAAAAATTGCACAATTTCTCTTTTTATTTAAATGATATCAAGCACATCTACTTTCGAAATAAAGTCAACCACTGTTGCAGTTATTATGTAAAAAATATCAGAAAATAAAATTTAATGGCGGCTTCGTACTTTGATCTTAAAAGCATAACAAAATTAACAGCTCGTGATTAACGATACGATACTTTTTAAATGTTGCGTTGAAACATAAATTATCAACTTTAATATCATTGTACCTTTTTTTCTATTTGATGTCATGCGCATTTTTTTTAAATTTTTATATCATATCGACACGCTTGGTTAATGTTAATCGTCTAGCTTCTCATATACCACTATTGTGATCATTTTGTAGCAAAAAAAGTTACAAAAATGTATGCAGTTTAAATATAATCATTGTATTTTTACTCGCACCATCGAACATTAATCTCAAAACACATTATTTGCAGTACCGCCATGTCAATTAAAAAACTCAGTAAATTCCCTTTAAATAACACACAGCGAGGAAGATTTAATTGTCTATACCTGCTACATGTATGTACGAGATTGGAATGTCAGATTAAAGGAACTCCACTGAGATCCAAAAGCGTAAAACATAAAATCTAAATATCTTATATAGATCAGCTTGGTATCTTAAAGGCCCATTATGCCCCAGAAATGCATTCATTTTTATATTTCAAAAGCTTTTAATGTTTCGTGTTCTGCTGTAGTTTCCAAAAAGTAAATCATTGGCAAAATACCTGAACCGTCTTTTTTCATCTGTTTCTGTTTGGCAATCGGTACAATTATAGTGAATTAGTATAATGAGTGGAAGTCAAAATACTACTTTGTTTACATTTCGCTACTTAAATTACAAACTATTTCACATTTATCGCTGCATACTTAAAAACAATTTTTGAGGCATAATGTGCCTTTAAAACAGAAACATATGCAAAATAATAATAATAATAATAAAGAAATATACTCAGAAATAATTTAAAAATTGTACTTTTGTGTTGTTTTTTGCCCGATTTGATTGAAAAACGTTGCAACGCTTTTCAATTTTTGTTCATTTTTTCACAATTAGCATTGTTACTCAGGATAAACAAAGTGAGCGAATGATTAATTAGAAATTTTGGACACACGTTATTGACTAGGATCTACATCAAATGGAACATTCATCTCCAGTCCCGTCTTAAAAAAAAACCTGCGGAGTCCCTTTAAAGGAGAAAACATATTAATGTACAGTAAAATGTGTTTCGTTCATGTATACATTAACTCTTAATTGCACATAACTTCATGTATGTAAAATGCATGTATTTAACGAAATTCGGATGACCTTTAAATATTCAAGATTCGCGTTTTGTTTATTTTGGAACTGACGTATGTTCACTTTAATATTTAAACATCCCTAAGTAGCACCAAAACATGGTACCCTTTTGTAAATTGATATTTCAAATGTATATATATCATAAAACATTGCAATTTTTAAGTGCTTCTAAAACATAATCGATTTAAACAGCTGAAAATGAGTTATATAGGAGCTACTAGAGCTGTTTAAAGGCACATTATGCCTTTACAATATTTTACTTCTTTAGAAAGGACAAACATGAGTTTTATTATGTTTAAATAATGGTTTTAAAATTGTTAGATGTTTGTTATCCAAGAAATAAGCGATAAATGTGAAATAATTTGACATAAAGGTATCCAAAATGTAAACAAAGTATTATTTTTTACTTCCATTCAAAATACTTATTCACTTAAACTGTACTTACTGTCAAAAAAGCAACAGATGAAAAATAAGTAATTGGCCATTGAGTAACTTTTTGGATACTATAAAAGTCTAATAAAATTTAAAAAGCTTTTAAAAATAAATGCACTACTGCCTTAATTTTTTTTATTAGAGTATAACCATATAAGTTGTTGATCTTTTTTTCGTAAGATATCCAGTTTTGAGAAATAAAAAATAAATGCATGTATGAGGCATAATGGGCCTTTAGGACTTTTTTATTAGCGTATATAACTATATAAGTTGTTGATTTATTTTTCGTACGTTAACGTTTAAGTAATAGAAAGAGCATATCCAAACACGAGGCTATCTGATTTGTACGAGGAGGCGTAGCCCCCGAGTATTTATCATATTGCCGAGTGTTTTGATGTTCTTTCTTTTTTGTATTATAGTAAAACATAAAAACACGTTCTGTGTTGTCACGATATGAAAACCCGGGAAAAAGTAACCAATGAACGAGCATCTGAATATGATATTTCTGTCTCTTCCCTTTCTCTTCCGTCACAATAAGTAAACCCCAGCAAAAATGAGCCAATCAATGGGCATGCTCAGGAGTACGGATAACTAAAACCTGCACTCCAGTTAACGCACTGTACATGTATATGTATACGATTTAACTCTGATACGTTTTCAACAAAAATGTCACCAAACTATGATACAACAAATGTAACTGTATTGAGGACAGTTTACACAAAAAAAGACTGTCAGCAAGTTTTAAATATAGTTATCGCATGGTTTGGAACATTTCCTTTGTTCTTACTAACCCATTATACTCAGTACACTTCAATGAGCATTTGAAAACTGTATTGATATATAACAGTACAGTTTTTTCATTGATTCGTAAAAAACTGCATTGATATATACAAGGTGCGAAAACAACTCGAAACAGTCGAGTTTTTTTCCCTATATCAATCAATGAAAAAACTGTACTGTTATATATCAATACAGTTTTGAAATGCTCATTGAAGTGTACTGTGTATAATTGGTTAGTAAGAACAAAGGAAAAGTTCCAAACCATGCGATAAAGTACTGAATAGTTGTAAAGAACCTTCACTTATGTGGCAACTCGTGACTATTTCAGTCAGTCGGGAGTTTAACAGCATGCGTTTCCTTTTAACGAAGAATTTAAATACTGAACTATTAAAGGCACATTAAGTATCAGAAATCAACATTTTTTTTAATTCTTTAAAAATGTCAAACATGTGTAAATGGTGTTTGAATACTTATAAGGGCATGTAAGCTGTTTAGCAACTTAAGACAGTTGCGCTGAACGTGCAGTAATGTGTCATTTTATCATAGTTTTGGACCTTTCTGTTGAAAATGTTTCAAGGTTAAATCGTATACATATACATGCACAGTGCGTTAACTGGAGTGCAGGTATAAGTTACCCGCACTCCAGAGCATGCCCAATGATTGGCTTATTTTTTTGGTGGGGTTTACTTATTTACAAGGCAGAGAAAGCTGCTTGTTCACTGGTTACTTTTTTTTGAGGTTTCATATTGTGACACTATCTTTTGCAACAATAGCTCTGTTGGCAACCTATATAATAATAGTGAATAAGTATTTTGTTTGGAACTCAAAATACAACAATGTACTTTGTTTACATTTTGCTACCTTTAGTAATAGAAAGAGCTTCGAAACACGAGGCTATCTATTTCTTTGAAAACTATAACAAGATACAAAAATTAAAAGCTTTTATGAAACAAAGTTGGTAGCATTTCTTAGGCATAATGGACCTTTAAGATGTTTTAGTATATGTCATACCTTTTGTAGCTTTTGATTAACAAATATGTATAAAAAATGAACCATTTTGACTACTATATATTTTCCGGCTAAGTCAAGATTAGTCATTTATATTTATTATTTATCACACGTATATGTGTATATATGTACGTATATCACACTGATTTTGAAGCTTATATTGAATTATTGATTGTTTTTGATTTTTTTAGTTAATTGAAGTTTTGAAGTTAATAGGTTCTGCTTCGAAAAAGTGTTATAATTATAAAAATAAACTTCATCATGACATGATATGACATCATAATAACTTATTTTGTATTTTAAATACGTCAAAGTGCTTCGAAGCTTTGTTGCAATTGAATAACATAACTATGTCGCCATATGACTTATACTGTGTTGATGCGACGTAAAACCGAACCTTAACATGAATGTGTCTGTTAACACTATTGATTTGAAATGCAATGGATATAATTCAATGATTGTACTGAATACTGAATTTTGACCAATGAAATCGTTCCATTTTACAAATTATTTGATACATTTTACTAATTTAGTGAGCACCACCTTGCAATTTGAATAAAGTTCATATTTTCATATGTTTATATGTAGTGTTGCGTTATTAAGTCAGATTTCAACTTGTCATCTAATATATACTGTCCCGTTTAATGAGCGTATCATATTCGCACTGTGTAAATATTTAAAATAAATATTATCAGCAATTAAATACAATAATGTTTGTTTAGACAGTAATTATTTTCATATAAAGACTTTCTATTTTTCTTCTTTCTTTTTTTTTTCTTTTTTTGAATGGTTATGGACAAGTTTAACCAGGACAGAGATCGTTGTAAAAGATTTACCTGTCAGGAATCCGAGTGAAACATACATAAAATACAAGTTTGGTGTAAACAACGTAACAAAGCATCCGACAGACGACACAACAGCCCCCGTCATAGCAACCAGTCGGCTACCATGACGACGAAGGAAAATGCTTGCCAACGGACCTGAAAATAT